TTCTACCCCGGCTTGTCCCGATCACCACGCACCTGGCGCGCCTGGTGCGTGGCGCGCTTATGCTTCACACCGTGCTCGAGACGCGAGACCGCCTGCCGTGCCGTGCCGTGCCGTGCTGTGTCGTTCTGCACCGTGCCGTGCGCCGCGGCTTGCACGTGCGGCCGGTGTAACGCGTCACTCTGTTCCATGCCCGGCCGCCGCGCCGCCCGCAGGCTCGGGTGAGTACCGGCGCGGCCTGGGCTGCCGCGGCCGGCAGGGCAAACGACAGGCGGCTCCCTGCCGGCTGCAGGCGCCAGCCTACGCTCAGCCAGCCCCGCCGCAATGTTGGGTGCAGGCTTTGGGCCGAGGTCTCAATGGCGTGGCGGGCTTCCAGGCGGCGTTTGTGATGCCCCTGTGTCAAGGTCGCTTGCAGCGGGCTTCTTGCTTGGCGCGTGCCTACAGTGTATGGTCGTGGGTTTCGAACGTTCTTCTCCGCAATTGCAGGGCATGTTTGAGCCGTATCTTAAGAGTTTCTTCGTACGCTCTTGCGACTCAAGCCACATCAAGATACTGAAGCTGGAAATTCTGACCAACTTGGCGACCGAGTCTAGCATCTCCGTGGTCCTCCGGTCAGTGGCAGTTTTTCTTTCTGGCCCTCTGGTCGCTGATGTTTGTATGTACGCCAATGTTGAATGCCCGGGGCGTGCTTACCTTATTGGTGTGGTTGTATACTTCACTCTGCATGTTGTGTTTTGTTCTCAGGCTGCGGATAGCCGATTTTTAATAAACATTTGAAAAAGGTGCAATGGCCGTTGGTCCACTGCCGTCCGCAGTCTCGTGGGATGGGTCCTCCACCATCCCTGGTTCCCCAGTGCTGGCTCTCCGCCATCCCTAATCCCCGGGTCGGGTCACCCGCCGTCCGGAGTCTCCTCCGCTGACAGCCCCGCCCCTCTGGCCGCAGCGAGTTCCAGACGTACATCGCCAGCCACGACAAGACGTTCGTGGCGGCCACCATCCAGGCGATCGGCCGCTGCGCCTCCAACATCGCCGACGTCACCGACACCTGCCTGCAGGGCCTGGTGGCGCTGCTCTCCAACCGCGACGGTGCGGCGGCGGCTGCCGGCCGCCACCCCGGGCTCCCGACGCGTGTGATATGATCATTTGGACGTGGTCCGCGTCCCGGACCCCGGGAGGCAATTATCAGCGCGGAAGAGGGGTTGGTTTAGTCAGTCATTCGTTCGTTCGGCCAGTCGTAAAAGAGTCGTCAGTGTCAGAGAGGAGTCGTTAAACCACAACGGTCGGCGGGGGTTAACGGGCGCGTGCCCTGTTGTGCTGCCGTCGGCGGCACTTTTGAACCGGCGCCGGTGTTTGCTGGCAGAGTCGGTGGTGGCCGAGAGTGTGGTGGTGATCAAGAAGTTGCTCCAGACGCAGCCAGGCGAGCACAGGGAGATTATCCGTCACATGGCCAGGTGAGAGTCACGGCAGACGGCGCACAGGCGGGCCTCGGGGCGCGGCCTGCCGTGGTCGGCCAGACTGGTCGTCCCCGGTTGTCTCGGTAGTGAGAAGGCCGGATATGATGTGTTGTCTCGCCCAGCTGCTGTCAGTGACTTGCGTTGCTGACAGCCTTGACGCGCTGCGCTTGCCGCACTAGGTCACTCCGCTGTCTGGCAGATGACGCCGTTTGACGGCAGCGTTCCCGGCAGTGTGTGGGTTTATGTGCACGTACGCGGTGGGCCGGACGGACGGGTGACCCGGCGGTGCCCCGGTCAGAGTCGTCAGGCCCGTGAGCGGTGGCCGGACGGACGGGTGACCCGGCGGTGCCCCGGTCAGAGTCGTCAGGTCCGTGAGCGCGCCTACCCGTGCCTTTTAGGCTGGTCGACACCATCAAGATTCCAATGGCGCGCGCCAGCATCCTCTGGCTGATCGGCGAGTACTGTGACCGCATCCCCAAGATCGCGCCTGATGTGCTGCGCAAGATGGCGCAGACCTTCATCAACGAGGTGGGTCCGGGGCGGGGCGTAGGCGCGGCGCGTGGCGGAGGTGCACCGCGCCTCACGGCCTAACACAAGGAAACGCGCATTTTTTCCTAGGTAGCGAGGAAGAAAAAGCTGGCGCGAGCAGCTCAGGTGGCCGACATGGAAACCGTGCAGTCATTGGGCAGTCGGAAACACGTGGCGTAGATCGTACGTAATCGGGCATCGGTTGTGGTATGTCCAGAGGCGTGGTAACGCCGTGTTCGGAGCCAGCCGTCTACCGCTCCTCTCCGCCGCACGGCTGTCGCCTCCAAACACGTCCTTCGCCTCTCGCCCGCCAGGAGGACATCGTGAAGCTGCAGATCGTCAACCTGGCTTCGAAGCTGTGCCTGACGAACCCGGAACAGACGGAGCTGCTGACCCAGTACGTGTACAACCTGGCGCGCTACGACCCCAGCTACGACCTGCGGGACCGCGTGCGCCTCATGCGACACCTGGTGTTCCCCGCGGACGGGCCCAACAGTCGGCTCGGCAAGTACGCGCGCAGGATCTTCATGGCCACCAAGCCGGCGCCTCGTCTGGAGAGCAGCTTCAAGGGTCAGTATGTGATGCCTTCTCTGTGCCGAGGTGGCGCTGGGCAGCGCGGGGGAGGGGAGGGGAGGGGGGTAGCCACGGCGGTTTACTCTTGTTGGATGGGTCAACAGGCGTGTTTGGCTCTTGTCTCCTATGTGGCGGCACTCGTAGTCATGGAATGGGAACCGTGCCCAGAATTTCGTTTGTCGTTCGTGCGAGTGGGGCAAGAGGCACACGTTACACTTGAGCCTTATTCTGACATTTTACAGCCATTTTGAACCACTCAAGTTCAGACTTCTCCACTGATCTTTTCACAGTTGACTGAACGTGGCCTGTGACGCCTGACGTTTTGCCTTAGCAGTTCGCTCCTGACCAGGATTTTGCTACAACCGAGCTAGCATGGTTTCCGTAGAGCAATTGGTGCGCGGAGTGGGACAGCATAAAACGAAACGTGTGTACACTAGGGAAGCCCGTGTCCGTAAGCCACGTGTTCGAGCGAGGTCTTGCCACGACCACCAGCGGCGAGCCGATCAGTCGGCGGCCGCGTGTCGACGCCGTCCTCGCCGCCGCCGACTGCGTGCCGACGCCGTCCTGGCCGCCGGCGGCCGCGTGCCGACGCCGTCCTCGCCGCCGGCAGACCGCGACCAGTTCCAGCTGGGCTCGCTGTCGCACTACATCAACGCGCGCGCCAGCGGCTACCGCGACCTGCCCGACTTCCCGGCGGAGGCGCCCGACCCGAGCGTGCGCAACAGCGTGGTGCCGCTGCCCGAGCCGCCGCCCGAGCCGGCCCGGCTGCCGGCCCGACAGCGCGGCTTCTACAGCGACACGTCCTCGGATGACGGTAAGGCGCCGCGGAGGGACCCCGGCCAGGCTGGCTGGCGGTGACGCCCTGCCTCAGGAGGGTGCTTGTCACGCCGTGTTTCGTGTGACAGCTGGTGCGACTTGCAGCAGCAAACTGCCTGAAATGTGAATCAGGAGTGTGTTGTGACATTGCGCGAACGCACTCCAAACGTACTGCAATGCATATGGACGATGTCCTCCCCAGGAAGTCTTGGCAATGACATCAGGTGTAACGCGCACCGCTTGGCCAGTGTCAGATTATCTTGCTCCGGCCTGGCAGAGCAGTCACTGACCAGGTCATGGCGTTGGTTGTGATGGGCGCATTGGCGACGAAGAAAAGTGTCTGTGTGCGTGCGTGCGTGCGTAGAAGTGTGGCGACAAAGAAAGTTTGTCTTTGATGTCGTTCATTACCTTGTCCTCGGGAGTTTCCAGCGCCAGCAGCTAACGTTACCCTCGCTACTAACGCGCGGGACATGGCCTCACTGCTGGCGTTGCCAGCGCTCTCTGTGAACGCAGCTCCTGGGACTCGCGGCTTGCTTAGCTCCACATCAGCGCAATGCCGTGGCTGCCGTCAGATTCGGACGACTCTGACAGCGACAGCAGCTCGTCCAGCAGCGGAGAGAGCAGCGGAGAGGACGGGGAGAGCAGCGGAGAGTCCAGCTCCGAGGGCGGCGGGCCGGCGCGTGCCAAGGTACGGCTCTCGTCCGCCGCTGACCGTCACGTTATGTGTCAGCTTGCGGAGACGGGAATGTTTCGCTGACTTCCGTGACATGCGAACGGCTGTCGTGGCTGGGCGCCGTATGATCATAGCGGTCGGCGCGCCCCAAAGCCGATATCATTATCATCATCACGCTGTCGTGGCGCTCACGACCCCACCAAAGTCTAGCCCTTGGACATCGCGTTGTCTTGCGAAATCTTCAGTCGCTGCAGTCTGTGCGGGCACCCTGCGGCGCCACTTCAGCAAGCCCTGACACTGTGTGTTGCGCGTGTCCGCGAGAACGCGTCCTCCGAATCCTTTCGCTGGTCGTTCTGTACGGACGGAGGTATGTACTGCTGGGCAGGCGAAGGGCCGGGCACCGCCGCCGAGCCGCGGTGTGTCCTCGCTGCGGCCGCCGCAGGCGTCATCCAGTGACGAGGAGGACAGCGGCGAGAACGGCTCGTCGAGCGGCTCCGAGTCGGGCTCGGAGGACAGCGACAGCAGCGCTGCGCCGCAGCCGGCCGGCGAGCCTGTGGCGCCGGCGCCGGCGCCGGCGGTGGCCGAGAACAGCGTGGACCTGCTGTTGAACCTGGATGCCGGTCTGTAGGAGCCGCTCGGCGCGCCCCGACGCCGCTTCCTGTGGACGTGCGGGCTTGTGCGTGTGTGTCTGTCGTAGGGGGCGCAGCGCTGCTCGCGTGTGGCTCGGGAGGGGCGACGAGTGGAGGCGTTTGGTTCAGTGCTCTGCTCGGGCTGGTTGGGCATCGCCGAATGTTCTGCTTTGGGAGGAGTGAGCACCTTGTGGAGCTTGCCTGATGGCTGCTGCTGTGAGGCGACGGTCCACGGGCGCTCTCCCTCAGCACTGCATGGATAGCGTGTGCCGACGGTTTTTTAAAGTGGCCACCACCGTGGGCTTCCACTGCTGGCGGGCTGGCAGTGTTGGCTTGGGCCAACGCTGGTCCGGCTTGTGGCCGGCAGTCTCCGGCGAGGCAGTGCTGTGGTATTATTTTCCCACATCAGGGCTTTTTTGGCTCGGTGAGTTCAAAACCTGGTAAATTGGAATTAATTTAAAAAGCGAGTCTATCTGTTAGTTTTTTTTGTGCGCGAACTGTCAGCAAAGGCATGGGTGACATTCGCCACTGGCTGGGCTGCCAGACCGTGGGAGCATGCTGCATGAAGTGTCTGCACACCACCGCACGCTTAGGTCACCGTGACCTGTTGTGGCATCCCGCAGAAAGACGTCTTGCTTGCGATCGTGTGCCGTGTGGACCGCATCAGCCCGCTTTTGTCTGTCATGCGACTCTGGACAGCAAGAGCCGTCATGGTTTGGATGCCTTTCGGATGGGTCGAGGGAAGCACTCGAAGAGAGTGCTAGGTTTCGATTTGGGGATAATGTTGTCTGTTATTGGCCTGGGGGGGGGGGGGGGGGGGGGGGATGTAGTAGTGAGAGTTGGTCATGCTGTCATTTGCGCTGCGGTGTTTTCGAAACTACCAATGCACACTTTCCCAAGGCTGTTTAAAGCACTATTATACTGTCTTATGCTTGTGCAAGCAAGTGAGCTGAATATTTTATATACAGTTATTTAAAATACATTTTTCTTTCATCAAACTGTGTGGTGTTTACGGAAATTCTCGTCATCGGCCCTCGGCACGTGCTATTTTGCGGCGCGCCGAGGGCCAACACCTCTCCTGGACCTTGCTCTGTTGTTTGTTCTAAATACCATCTGATCCGTCCTGATCCGGTTCGATCTGACCTTCTTTCTGACCTGATCTGATGTAGTCCGGCCTGGGTTGATCTGAGCAGATCTGGTCTTATATGTCACCTGACATGTCCTGAGTTTGACCTAGTCTGACCTGATCCGGTCCAATCGACCTAGTCTGGCCTGACCTTGCCTGACCTGACCTGACCTGACCTGAGCCGGACTGAGTGGCTCCGTGTGCCGGGCAGTGCCGGCGCCGGTCGGCTCCGAGCTGCTGACGCCGTCGCTGGGCGGCTTCCTGAGCCCGCTGGCCGGGCCCGGGCCCCTCCCGGCCGCCGCCGCCCCCGCCCCCGCCATCGAGGTGAGACTGTTGATCGTCCGAGGCCGTCCCGTGCGCTGCGTCCGTGGGGGCGGGGCGTCTCTCGTGCCGAGATAAGCACCGCTGCTGATGTGTGGGCGAGAGCTGGATAGATACGCCCCGGCCTCGTAAGCATTGTATAATTTGGCATCGAACCGTATTTTGCGTGCGTGTTTAACGCACGCCAAAACAGCCCCACAAGGCATCCAGCGGTGTCGTTGAAGTGCAGGAGAGAGCGGCCAGCTGCAGACATGCAGCTCAAACTCCGGCTGTTGATTGTGCCGGGACAGGGCGACCCAACATCGTGGTTACGTCTCTATAATCTCGTCGATGATTAATCATTGACTAGTCGATATCTCTCCTGATGTCCGGTGTCACCCCTCGCCCCTTATCTGGATGTCAGACTGCGGTCTGGACCGGCCACCTACCCCCCCCCCCCCCCCCCCCTCCCGCGTCAGGCGTCTAAGAAGTTGGAGTGATGGGTTGGAGTGGACTTGAAGTCAGGCGACGGTTCGACGGTTTTCCAGAACCGAACGTTTCCGCGTGTTCCCAGTAATCGGGGAGCCCGTGTTTATGTTGTGCTGCTAATCCGACTGACGGTGGCCGCGGGTTTGGTCGGCACTAGGGTCCGATGGTAGTGATGTGTTCTCACACACGGTTCTGTCGGGGCTGTTTGGGATACAGGCAATGTGCGCTGAGTCATCTGTGCTAGGTCGGCTTTCTCATGTCTGGAATGCCAAAGTCAAGTATTGTATATTGCATTCCTCCTTAGCTTTTCCAGACAAGTGTTCTATTGATGCCTGAACTACGCTGACTTCGAATGTGCGCACGCAGCGTCGGTCGTACGCCTGCCGACATTACACTGTGGCGCAGTTCGTCACCACCGGCCTGACGCGCTCGTGACCTGACGTCGCACGGACAGGTGGTTTCTGCCGCCCACGTGCCGACCACGTGCCGTGACCTGGTGGGCCGCGTGGCCGGCTCGGGTCTGGAGATCAAGTACCGGTTCACGCGCGCGCCGCACCTCTACTCGGCCAAGATGACCTCCGTGGAGCTGACTTTCACCAACACCACCCAGCAGGAGATGCGCGACATTCGCGTCGGGAACAAGGTGGGTCAGGAGGGCTGTTGTCACCGCTCGGACCCCTGAGCCGCGCGTTGTCACGCTGATGACGAGCGAGCGTGTAGCGTGTGAATGGGTCAGTGACATTTGTTATCGCGCGGCTCCCGTTGTTTTGTGATGCGGGTATGATCTGAGTAAGCCTGTCCCAGCAGGGTGGCCACTGTGAGCGGGTTTGGTCTAAGTTGACATCCCTGTCCCTAGGTCGGGTTTGCCAGTCACGGACCGGACACTAGTTTGCGTGTGCTCTGCCTGCAGTTCGCGGACATCTAGTTAGACCGACGCCCAGCCTGACCTGGCCTGAGCTGACCTCGCGTGCCCAAGCACCTCCAGCCGCTGTCCGACCTAACCTGGCCTGGCCTGACCCCGCAGACATTGGCGCCCGGCCTGGCGCTGCACGAGTTCGCGCCGATCGCGGTGCTGGCGCCGGGCGGCACCGTCTCCTCCACGCTCGGCGTCGACTTCCACGACTCGACGCACCCGGCCAAGTTCGACGTGCTCGGCTACGGCGGCCGCTGCGTGGCCGTCAGCCTGTCGGCGCCCATGGGCGAGCTGCTGCGCCCCGTCACCATGCCCGCCGAGCTGTTCCGGCTGAGGCGAGGTCAGCGCCAATGGAGGCGTTGTGACGCCAATGAGCGTAGTGTTTACTTTCGTTACAAAATAATCGAATATTATCTTCACCATTCGGTGGATGCCTTTGCTCCTGTGCTCTGTCTGGTCCGCGCCTCTGGCATTCGTCCGCTGCCGGACGCCTCTGCTCAGCAGCACTCGTATTCGTCGCAGGTCAGCTGCGCGGCATGAACGAGGCGGCTGGCTCGGTGGTGTCGGCCGGCGCCGTAGACCCGACCGCCGTGCACCGCCGCCTCCAGCAGGCCCTCAACGTGGGCCGCGTCGACTCCGACGACACCGCCGGCGTACTCAGGTGGGCGCTCCGGACTGCCGTGACCTGTCGGGCCGGGGAGGGTCCGGCAGAGGGCTGTCCGGTCCCGGCACGAGCTTGCCACGTGAGCGCAGGCTGTGCGATGCAGCCGGTTTGTGCTGAATTGTCTGGGAAGATGTCTCTGGGACGTTTCTGGTGCAGCTATTCTCTCGCGAGGCTTTCGTATCATTCCAAACAAGCAGGAGCAGATTTTATACCCAGACAAACCCCTGCAGCTTGCGCCGCCTTCATATTACAATTTTTGTAGAACGTTGAACAAGGTTGCGGGTTTTGGTGGGGATGTCTGATCGGGTGACCGCCGGTCGGGGCGTGGCTCTGACCTTGACCTCTGCGCACCCCAGGTTCGCCGGCCAGACGCTCTCCTCCGATTCTCTTGTGCTGATCACGGTCACGCTGCCAGCCGCCGACGCCGCCGAGGGCGCCACCATCGCCATCGCCGTCAACTGCGAGAAGATGGTGGTGGGCAACATGCTGCTGAAGGACGTGAAGGACCAGCTGAGCTAGACGCCGCGCCCGGCGGCTCGGGGCGCGACATTCTGGGGCCGCGGGTGCGCCCGGCGGCCCGGGGCGCGACATTTCAGGGCCGCGGGTGCGCCCGGCGGCTCGGGGCGCGACATTCCGGAACCGCGGGTGCGCCCGGCGGCCCGGGGCGCGACAATCCAGGGCTGCGGGTGCGGCCGGCGGCCCGGGGCGCGACATTCCGGGACCGCGGGTGCGCCCGGCGCTGGTCCCTTGCTGAGAGATGCGTCGGTGACCGGCGCGGGATTCAGGCTATGTTATCAGACCGCATCTCAGTGGCGATGTTACGTATCGGGCAGCTGGAACGCGCTCGTTGCATGTGGCTGAGGGAGCCAATTCCGGTTAAACGGCTTCGGCCCGCTGCTGCTGGGTCCGTCGCTTTCAGGTATCTTTCTGGGATGTTACTAGCTGTCTGCTTCGCCTCCGCGTTGACGGCGAGTGGGTTGCATACTTGCCTCCACTTATAAGGCTCTATGTTTATGTGTGCTTTTTCAAACTTCTGCGATGCTGCGCGTATGTGAAATTGTGAATCTGTCCTCAGTCGAACCCGTATTGCATGCATCTTGTACCGTCCGCATAAAGGTAAGCCTTGTTAATATTTGTTGTATCTTGGCCTGGGAAATATACGTATGAGACACTGAATGCGCCCACCAAATCTCACCGCAGCAATGCAATCTATTCGTTTCTGTGATATCAGTTCAGGACTTAAGTCAATGCATCTCGAGAGCTTGGAGGTATTGTGGCAGGGGCGACATGCCTGCAAGCCATACGCCAGAAGCGCTTCAGCTGACCGTGTGGGCCACCAGTCCGCGACACACGTCACGCGCATGGACGCGCGTGCGCACAGCACGAGGCAGGTGGCAAGCTACTTACAACCGAGGCGGCGCAAGGGAAGAGGTTATGCAACGGCTGAAAAACAGCAATTCTGAAGTGTGCAGAAACTCGGGCCCCAAATGTGTTGGTCAAACGACCCCAATCTGATCAGCACCATCAGAACTCATTGCACAACCAGGCGTTGGGTTGACAATGCGAGCGTGTGTGTCTGTATGTGGTATCTGGTTCTGAATTTGAACCACACGGTTCGTACCCATCCTATCAAATACGAGGAGCATCCCACCTACCGTTTTGAGGCCGTCTACCGTCGCAAACGTTTCAAGGTAGAGTATCAAACGTTCAATAACGTACACTAAGAAGCGATTTTCTCTCTCGCCATGCCTGGCCACCCCATTACGACATGACGCAGAATGAACTTCCTCCGGGCGGCAGACGTCTTCACAGTTTCTCTAGTTCCTAATTGCATTCGATGTTGTGTGCCGTCCAACCAAAACATAATTCTAGTACGAGGCAGGTTCTGCAAATCATCCTATCCCTGTCCGCCTCCCCAAAGACGTGTCGCAAGGTAAAAGATGTGGATGTGCATGTCTTCTCAGTTTTTGGTCAGATTCGGGATGAGCTCTACACACCCCAGTAAACCCGCAACTCTGCTAGAAGGACTCTCAGAAGCGACGGAGGAACGCTCTCTTCCCTAGAGGACGGCGCAGAAGTTAGCGCAGGCAGCCGCTGTGCGTAGTCTCTGGCCAAGCTGACTGCCCTGCCGACCGCTAGTCCGGCGGCGCTGGGCCGGAGCTGGCGGGCCCGCCGCCAGCTCCGCCTCACACAGCGGCCTCTCCTGCCGACCACCAGTCCGGCGGCGCTGGGCCGGAGCTGGCGGGCCAGCGCCATCAGCTCCACCTCACGCAGCGTCGGGCCGCGCCGCGCGGTCCGTTGCGGCCGGCGAGCCGTCGTAGACGAGCGCCGTTCTTGCCACCGCGACCGGCGGCAGACCGGCACTGCGACGGCCGCATCGCCGTCAAGCGGCGCTTGTGACGGCGTCGGCGCTGTCGAGGTGACGCCACCGTCGTAGATCGCCAGTGGATGCTAAGACACAGCTCTCGACCGGCCCAGCGTGAGGGAACGCTTCCTGACATCTCTTTCGCTGCTAGGGACTCCCTGAAGATTCACAATGAAGCTTTCTGAGACCGTTTTCTGAATGTCTCATGCGTGATCGGGCTTGCAGTCGGTAGCAACGCTTGGAATCGATCGTGATCGCCACCTGACTCCACACCCTCAAGCAAGGCATCAGGGGCTGACAGCGTCCTTGGTTTTCAACCCCACCTTCCTCGCTCCCCATTTTGACTTTGTCCTGGCCACGTTTTCATCAGCTCGATGCTCCACAGCTTAGTGGCTGCCGGACTGTCTCCACCACCGAGGTAGACAATTGGGGCACGGCTGGCAGAACACTGTAAGATAGCGAACAGCAGTGCCAGTAGTTCGCGAAAAGGCAGGGCGAGAAATACGGTGCACAGCAACTAAAAATGATTTCATCTCCATCCCGTAATCAGCCCAGATTTTATTTGAACTCGCAACACACAACAATTTCAGAAGTCATTGGGGGCTCTGCACCATAACCCTTGATCCCAGCACTGTTCTGATCCTCGACCCTGGACTTAAAGCTTCCAGTCTCACGACCCCGGTGTACAAAAAAACTTTTTTGGCGATACACCATACCAGAGCATTTTCCATTACAAACAATTTCGAGGGAACCACCGGCGATCTTGCAATACCGTAGAGCGCAGTCAAACTTTGCGACGGGGGTACCATGATTTGCGACAAAAAGAGGGGGGGCTAGTTTTACGAGCGAATCCAGCCCCATTAACAGTATCTACGCACTACGAACAGCCTGACTCAACGTACCTCAATAGGTACGGTACCTAGCGTATCAATGAGCTATCTATGTTGCCGTACACTGGTGTCTTAAGCAATTGCTTCTGTTGCATGCTGGTAAGTGAATATCCAGTGGGCTACCCTGTAGTCTTGCTAAATTGCGGCTGACCGGTATTGTAACTTTTTTAAATGCTATGGTGTCATGGCTTCGCTCTGGTTGATGCGCTAAGTTGGTAAATGAATGGTCGTCTAAAAAGGTGTGTTACCCACAGTACTGTCTGGTAGCGTTAAGCCTGAATAGTGACTAATGAACTTATGATATACCCGTGCACTGTCGGTTAGCCACCGCTGTGCTCAGGACGTGGTACAAATGAGCCCCGAGTACCGCAGATTGGGAGGGGGAGGGGGGAGGGCACAGGGTACGCGCCCTCCCCCCCCTAAGGGCCCGATTTAAGTGCGTGAAGGGCCCGAAAAGCCAGCCAGGGGTCTCATTTAAGGGACCTGGCTCGCAGGGCCGGGCACTCAAATGCCAGCCAGAGAGCCTTGCTCGCTGATCAGGGGCCCACTGAGTCGGCAATGGCATTTACTTTGGTCAGACGCCACCAGTTACGCACAATCGGCTCCATGACGGCATTGGCCTAAGGGCCCATTTTTCAAGCAGGGAGAAACCGGAGCCAGCGATTTACATTGCCCGGGGCCCCACGGCGCCTAACAGGGGCCCTGTGTTGTCAAGGGGCCTCAAGTCGGCCAGTGGCAGTGTTCGAGAAGGTCCGAAGAGCCGAGAGGGCCCGCCCGGTGCGACGATCAAGGGCGCGATTGGAGGGTTTAGGGGCATAAAGGGCTGGTCGGAGTTTTATTCGAGGGCCCAGACCTGCGAAGACAGACCCTCAAATAACGGCCAGAGGATCCTTTGCGCCGATCGGGGATCCCCTGAGTCGATATGGCCCTAAATGTCGATAAGGTACCACCGCACCACATGGTCGGTTCCGTGTCGGCGTGGGCCTGAGGACCCACTTTCCAATCAGCTCTAAAGCCGAGGCCAGTCATTTGCACTGGTCGAGGGCCTTGTATCTGTCAGGGGCCCACAGCGTCTAACAGGGGGCATTGTACTCGTAAGGGCCCCGAGCCGACCAAGGGCGTTTGATGAGGACCGAAAAGAGGCCCGGGCGGCCCACCGGAACCGACTATCAAAGACCCGCTTGGAGGGCATAAGGGCCCGAAGGACTGGCTGCTGGCCACATGAAGAATCGCGACCCATAGGGTCATGACCTTAACTATCAGCCAGAGGTCCTCCTGCACCGTTTTAGGAACCCCTGGGACAATGCGGGTGTCTAAATCGGCCAGAGACCACGAATACCGAACAGTCGGCTCCATGTCCGTCTGAAGCCTTGATACCCATTCCCCATGCAAAAACGAGGCCGGGGTTCGCGATTCGCAATGTTTGGGGTCCCTAACACAATAAAGGGCTTCTGTGTTGGTTAGGGGTCAGTGCCGAACAGGGGTTCTGTTGCAGCATGTGGCCCTGAGTCGCAGCGGTGTTTGAGGGGGCCCAAAGAGGTGCCGAAGGTCTCTCGAGACAAAAAATCAGGGTCCCGATGGCATATCTGAAAGGTTCGAAGGGCTGGCTGTAGGTCACATTAAGGACCCCGCCCATAGGACCGCGATCTCAAATGTCAGTAAGATGATCTCTTCCACCGATAGGGACCCCTGACACAGAGCGTTTATCTATTTCGGCCAGAGGTAACAAGCAACGAACAGTCAGCTCCGTGATGGTCTGAGCTCTGGGGCCCATTTCCTAAGCACGGACAAGGCCAGGCCCGCGATTTACATCGGTCGGGCTCCTATATCGTTCAGGGGCCCACAGTGCCTAACAGGGTATTCTGTGTCAATAAGGGGCCTCGAATCGGTCAGGAGAAAATTTGTTCTACAGGGACAGGGACGGGAGCTCGAATGGCAGAGGGTCTCTTGCGCTGATCGGGACCCTCCGACAATTGAATGAAACAATAACTTATGATGAGTGCTGACATTGAGGTAAAAGAAAAGACCTGTGCCAGTCAGGATCCCCACTACCGAACGGTGGGCCCTCCAAACCTTTTCCAGCATGAGCCCGTTAAGCCCAACTGCAGCCTTTATGCCAAGTACTTGACCATCTGCAGTGAGCATGGATGTTGCTGCGTTAATGACGGCTCATGCGCCGATGCGGGGTCAGCTGCGCGGGTCAGCAGGCCTCCCGCGCCAGGGAGCGGACAAATGTGATATGATGTATCCCTCTAAGAGCCTCCGGATAGGCCAGAGAATGCCGCCCCGTGTCGCCAGAATGA